AAGATCGCCCGGAGCCTTGGATTCGTGGACAGTCATGGAAGGATGCATTCAATTTATGACAACTACCAAAAGTCTGCATTCAGGTACATGCAATTTATTTTTGTAGCAAAGAGATGGCATTTCCTGAAGTGTTGCCCTTAGGGGAGAACCAAGACACAAGCAAACCCCTGACGATCAGCTGAGTCATTATCCAGGAAGACATGGGAGAACCTCAGAGGCTTTAAAATGTAAGGATCTTACTCACTGCTTTAGGGGTAACTGTCCCTAAATGGAAATTTACCCTCAGAAAGGGTAAATCACCCTTCATCACCATGTCCCTTTCAATGTTTGCTACCATATTCGGGGAAGGCTTCAGAGCTACTTTGTTTGTGGAGGCAGCCCAAAAAAAGGAACTGAAATCCTGTATCTCATAGCTGGTTTGGCCTTGTCTTCAACTGAGGCCATCCAATTCTGATTTCAGGAACAGAACTGACACTACAGAGATCTTCAGAGGGTTCTATCACACAAGCTATATAAAGCTATTTGAGGCAGTGCAAGGCAACTAAGAGAGTGAATTGGGCTTTACATATTTTATGTCAACCTAGAAATGCCATTAAAAAAATGAAGGATTATCTCCTGGATAAGCTAGTTGTCCCAGAAAGGCATTTGCCATAGTTAATTTAGCTTTGCAGATACTAGGGGTGAGAAAGACCTGCCAGAATTGATCCTTAGCTGGATAACTGTCTTAGCCCTGCCTCCTTCACAGAAATGTGGATAGCTGACAACTCCAGTTTAAAAGCTAGCCCCGATATAGACACTGTCTGCTGCAGACTATTTGCTATCACATTTTTCAGTGCACAGGGAAGCACATAGTTATTGCTAATATATCTTTCAGAATATTCAACTTCTATCATACCGGTAGTATGGTTGAACTGGTAGTTCAAGCTCATAATGCTTTGCCTTTTGGGGGTTTTCCACCCATTAGTCATACTCATTCTGATACCGCAGGTCCCAGTTCCTTTTGTGATTATCTAGTTAAGACGAGCATTTTATCACTTTTAATCTCGTTTGGCACTGATTAGCCCCCAGATCTCCCATTGTTTTTTATATCCCTCTGTGATTCCTTCCTAATTGTCAGTAACTTTTTGGTAATGAATGTCCTGGAATGGACTGAATGCATTTTATTCTGGTCTTGTACCAGCCCAAATCCATAATTTCTAGTAGTGTAGTAGATCAAAACAAAACAAAGCATCACGGATAAAATGACCTTTTTGGTGCTTCAGGACAAGAAGTTAGGAGCAGATGAACTCCGTAGATTTTGTTAGATTGCCTCTACTAGAAGCAGGGGAATTCTGTTCATTGGCACTTATTCCTGACATGAGGAGAATTTAGGAGGAATTTTCTTACAGTTAGTGAAGTCACAGTGGTGCATGTGAAAATCAAGATCAATTTTTCACATTTCCCCTCTCTTGCACAAAGAGACAGCCTTTTTTCTTCTGTCACATCGCAAATGCATCATCGGCTTCCTCCTAGCCTTCTTTCAGCATTGCTACTCACTGACTTTTCTCAGTGACAGTGAACACTGAGAACAGTGGGGAAATAACAGTGAATGCATTTCCCCACAGATAAATTAGTTTACCACTTTCCAAGAGCTGCATCTCATTTACTTCCTAACTGTATTTCTGAGCTATCATGGACTCTCTACTATTTCTTTTGTCCTCATCTGTGTTCCCCTGCCCTCTCCTCCCAGCTTCATTATCTACATGTTTTATTAACCAGCTGTTTTATTGCCCCTTCCACATCCCAAGTGGAAATGTTCCATGAAAAGAGAGCTACCCCGAGCCCCTCTAGGTGCCATATGAGACCCAACGCCCTTGTCTATGATTACTCCTTCTTCTCAGGGCTTCAGATATTTCCTGTAACTGTGTTTATATCGAAGCCAATGGGAGACGATATTTTGAGACGCACCTTATCAAATGTTTTTCTGAGTCTCAGCTCTTCTCTCTGCCTTATTCATTTTGTAATTCTGTCAATTTTATATGCATTTCTTTCAGGGACTTAGTCTTCGTAAACCCTCGGTGCTCCTTCATGCGTATGTTTCCTTAATGATCTCTGTAATTCTCAGGACATTATAGGGAGAGCCATAACAAAAGGTACCTTTGAAAGCCAGCAAGAAAACTCCTGTTATGTTCAGGGCTCTACAGCTATTTCCAAGTAATGAGATACAAAGTGCTGTTTGGTGGAGTTTGGGGAGAAAAAACTCTAGATAAACACCGAGAGATAAAAGAGATTATCTTCCCCTTTATGTGTTTCCTTGCATTGTGTGAACTGTTTTCCAGTGAGGATTGAGTCACTTCTTGTCCCATGCAGAAAGCAAGAGAAATTATTAGGTCTGCTAATAGTTGAAGATAAAGAGTACAAGGCGATGACAGTTTGCTTTGTTTGTGGTTAAATGTTAAATTAGGCTTTTTTTTAAAATTCTCTTTTCATTTGTTACTATCACGGTGTTCATCAATGCCAGAACGCTATCACTCTTTTACTTTGCTCACTTTGGATTTAAAATGTACTTTTTTCTTGGTATAGACCTTAATGGAATAAAACTGCATTGCAATACACAATACACAATCTTTTAATTTGATATTGCATTATACAGCAGCTTTGGAGTTAGTGTGAAGTTATAGGGTACACACCTAGTTTGGTAATAGTTCTATACTACTCGTGATTAATCTGTCTATATACAATTTGTAGTGAAGCCACAGTACAAGTATACACACGTTTAGTAGAAATACATGGTTTGGATCAACTAGGATATTTTGATGTTGTTTGTAGCCAAGTTTGATTTGCAAGCCTTTGCTGTTGAGAATGATTTGTGAAAATGCTGAGAGTGCTTTGATGGCCATATATTTAATTACACTGTTAGTAATGTATACTGAGAAATGGAAACTGAGAGCACATATTGCATCAGGTTTTTCGACTATTAGATATATGTAGCAAAGATTGTCACTGGCACTAGTGTTTAGAGACAGCCACTGTGTGTTGCATGTGAATGTAGCACTCAGTCTTTCTCTGGCTTTTGCTCCTGACCAGTGTTAAAGCACTATATATTTTGGAGTGACTGTGTTGCAGAAGAAAAGGAGGCAGTGACACTTGAAATTTTGTTTGTGGGTACTGAAAATCACCATATCTATTTGGCAACTAAGTGCATGAGGATGAGTTATCAGATGCCCTGATCTGTAAAGCACTCTGGATCTCAGTTGAACCTTGCCATTTCAGGTCTACGACTACTCTGCATGCGACATTTAGCAGCCTTCGGCAAATATGGATCTATACCTTCACCTGTGACTTTTCCTGTCCTCTCCCTCTGCTGTCGTCAAATCTGGTGGCGTACAAATAAATAGATTTGCACTCCTGGAGGCAAGTCTTTCCCAACATAACAATCGTGTCAATCAATAACTTTCCTAAAGCCTATGCTCTTAGGACACTTCAGTTCTTGGCATGTTTTGTAGTTAAAATGCCGGTTTGATACCTCTGCCAGTGCACAGAGGACCAGTTCAAATGGCATCCTAGTGGCTGGTCCCAGGTGTGTGGCTGACGAGCCCTGTGCTGCCAAGGGCACTGACATTTTCTCTCCCCTGTGGCAACATGCAGCTTTGTGTGCATTATTCAAAGTTTTGGAGACTGTTCCAACACAGGATATTAGCAGTAGCAGAAGACAGCACAGCATCGATGCGCATTGACCTCTCCTCTATGCATTTTAGCACTTTGGCTCCTATCTCCTAGGAGCTGGTCCAATATTTTGAGACATAAACTAACTTTTTAGAAAGACCTTCAAAACCTTCAGTTAACATCTCCTTAGAGAGGCTATTCCCTCATTTAAACCCACAAAAGTCTGTTGCCATCCAGTGATTGGCTGACTGCACAAATCCTTAACAGTCCTAGTTGTTTTACTTTTTCCCCTGCAACGTCCCTCTTCAAGAGCATCCAATCCCCAATTCCCATGTCCTTTCACCTGTTTCTCCATCTTCAAGAGCATCCAATCCCCAATTCCTTTCACCTGTTTCTCCGTCAATCCCCTGCACTGTATCAGAAGCTTGTCAGCTCTGTTTTATATTCCTGAGTCTCCTTGGCTTAATTAAGGTCAAAGTGAAGTCTTGTTTAGGGAAAACCCAGGCTTAAACACTTACTACCTAGACCTTCGATTCACTCTGCTATCAGTTAGGATCGTGCTGCTTACAAAGTTGCATAATCAAAATGGTCTTTTACAATGATTTTAAGAGGTTCCTCTCCCCGTTTGCTTTTCCCTATCCTTCTCCTAGATGCATTCTGGTTCTAAACGCCTTTACTCAAGCTTCCATATTCCTCTAGCAGATAGATGGAAATGGGAGAAGAATCGACCTAAATTTCAGAGTCATCAGCAAGATCTTTTCCCACTACCCAGGTTAAAAGACTTCTCCCATTGACGTAAGTGGCCCTACACCGACTAAGAGGGCAAAAATGGCAGGGATTTCTGATGGTTGCTGCTGTTCTGTTTTTAGAGCACCAAGCTCAGTGAGGTCCTAGTCCAGCGGCGGAGCTCAGGGGCTGTAGGACCGTAGAAAGTAACAGTGGGTTTGAGAGGCAGCGTTTTCCACCTCTTATGTGAAAATGATGACCAGAACTCGAGGGACAGTGCAAGATCATTCTCTGCATCAGTATTTTGAAAAGCTCTTGGCCACAGTTTGCTATCCCTTCAGCTGCATTGGTACAGCGGTTTGCAGAGCCTGCTGAAGACTCAGGTCAAAATAATGTCCCCCAAACTGTTAAATGCTGGGTTATTTCAGTGATGCTGCATGGAGTGTGGTCCCACAAGCAGAGAGGAAGGGAGAAAGGTGGCAAACTGCAGTGGCTGGGTACAAAGAAGCAGCCAGGAGAGGGAGGAGTGTGTGAACATGAGGAACAACTTCCTCAGCTGACCTGGCTGCCCAAAGCTTGCCCAAGGCATTGCCTCTCTGCAAGGCTCTCTCCAGGTCTCTCGCTGCCAAATGGACCAGGATGGGAGCGAGAAGGCCCTGGAGCTACCAAAGTTTGTGAAAGGGGAGAGGCAGCAAGGTCAGAGACTCGCTCAGTGTTTCCCTCTGCCCACGGAGGGGAGGAGGGGACGGGCCTCCCCCGCCTCGGCTTCCAAATTGGGCAGTGCCCGCGGCAGCCCCGAGGCAGCCGGGCTGCGTGGGCAAGTGACTCACGGCACCGCTGCACGGCCACGTTATCCGGGGTGGGTGGGCGCTATTTGTCACACTGCCTGTGAGTGTTGTGCCAGGGGACACAAACACATCAGCTCTCTGGGCTATTGGTTCAACCTTTTCCATACACAGAGACGCACAGGAGTTACTGGAACGAGACAAATGCAGCGGGGGCAAAGTCCCTACACACACAGAAGACACACACTGCACCAGCGCTAAATAATTAAACACAACGAAAAGTTGAATGACTCTTCGATGTCATTCACAACGTGTCTAATAAGACCTGTGATACGCATTGCAGTCTGGGACTGAGTTTCTTAAAGCACTCCTGATAGACGTGTTGCTTAAGGGATAAATCTGTTTTCCAGAGCTTGGAGTAAACCGAGGGATCCCCTACTCACGCAAAAAGTCCCTGGTCTTACTGCAGATACATAGTGGACCCTGGTTTCATATCATTCTGAAAGAAAGGAGAGATGAAATCTAATTCTTGTGACATGGAGTCGTTCTGCATTGATAATAAGTAGTTTGTAATGAAGATTTGTCTTTCTTTCTAGGAAGGAATAAAGAGGACTGAGAGGCAGGTGGATAAAGGCTGATGGGTAGAAGGAACAGCTTTAGAGGTTGTATTCTATATAGATTTAGACAAAAGCAAATGCAAATGGTATAACGGTGACTTTTTGCTCCACAAGAAATCTTTCTGACGGTAATGAAAGTTCCTTAAGGGCAGGAGATAAATAGGATATACTAATTTTAATGCAAATGGATTTTTTAAAAGAGAGCCACTGTATAAAAGGTAAAATGGCAGTGCTCTAAACATTCTGCCCATGGTGCATTTACTTACCATTAAAAACTGACATCTAAGAAAGAAAGCAGTTATAAGGAAATACATACTTTTTTTTTTTTTTTCTATTAGGCTTTCACACTTTTGAATCTGCTTATGTTCTTTCAGTGCTACTGGAAACTTGATAATTGCTGAAGTTCATCCAGGTGGTCTTTTTCTGAAGATCCTGAACCGTGCCCTTCAGAAAGAGGAGAGCATTGGGGACCATCTCCTGATGCAGAATGTCCAAGGTCAACCAGTGGCAGTATTCCGGTTTCCCCCAAAGATCAGGATGGCGGCTGGCTCTGTTGTGACAGTGAGTGTGTGTGCATGTTGCATTTGTAGAGTCATATTTTTGGAAGGATTAACACAAGTCATGATGAATCCAAAAGAAGCTGCTAGTGCCCACCACCAGAACAAGTCTGGCATTCTCATGAAATGTCCAACATTTCATGCTGCCCAGCAATGGAAATCCTGGAAAGTCCTTCTTTGATGCCTTCCTATTTCCAACCACTGCTCACAGAAGCTCTCTGTGCTGTCCAACTTTTGTCAGTCATGTCATTTCTTTTGCCAACAGTGGGTGTGGACTGAAACCTTAGATCAAACATCCACAAAAATTAGAATTGGAAAGGAGACAAATTGTATTTGCAACTAATGCCATGTATTCCAGATGCCACTAATACCATTCTGTGTATAGCCTGAGAAGTAGCTGTAGTGTCTCAATTGAAGAAAAGAGTCATGTACATTCAACCTGTGTGCACTTTCTGGAGACAGCTGTGATCTATCACAGTAAGGCATAAACCAGTGTCCTTGCAATGGGGTTCTGTTTCTGGCTTTGCCTTGAACAACTTCTAGTAAATACTAACTCTCTGTGCCTTAGTTTTCCACTCTGAAAAAAAAAATGAAGATAATGATGAACTCTCCTTTGATTTTGTGTCAGAGCTGTATGTTAAAAATCAAGTGCATGGGTTGCTGCTTTTCAAAAAATGGTTTCCCCTCCAAGGAGTTCAGATGTACCTTTTTTGCCAGCTTGAATGAGTGATAGAGACATAGATAGGATATAAGATGTCAAGAATCAGATGACTTCATCATAATCCAGAAAAGCTTTAAGTAGAAAACAACACTAATACGCACTTGGCATCCGTGGTAATTAAAAAAGCTTGGACGTGTGAACTCAGTGTGAAGAAGGCTCCGTCGTAAGTGTAGCTCAAGAACAACAACCAGCTTCCAGCAACCTCTGGGATGACAATACCAAGCACCAAACCCACCCTGTGACCTGACACAACCTTTGCTGTGCTGGATAAAGCTGCTGGCTTGCAGAGCAACCCAGAAATGGCCTTCTCTTATTTGGAATTTATGCTCCAACCATTAAAAAAAAAGGCTCACTCTTCCCTGCTCGTTCTGAAGTGCTCTTATCTGGTCACTGCTGAAGACTTTTACAAGGTTGCCATTCCCGTTATCATTAAGTGACTTTGGGGTGAACAACTAACTGATATAGAAGGTCCACTGGAGATGCTATTTCAGCAAATGCAAGCAGGAATTTCCTGCTGTTTTATTAATTTCAAAGGGCAGTGTTCAGCCTGCCTATTCTTGCATATAAAATTAATGTGCAGTAATATTGGTGTCTGTCAGACAGATAGTTATGTAGGACTTCCATATTCCAGCTCCAAGTGAGAACAAGAGATGAACAAGGCAAGACAGGCAAGCTAGATGCCAGAGGAGATGGTTGTAGTATGGATTGAAGCCTCTTTTACCACCAGGACTTGCCTCCTTTTTTGAGATGAAAATTGAGGCTCTGCAAAATAAAATGAGGAAAAATCCATGTTCATCAGCCAAGTTCATCCTCGCCCTGTGTGAGCCCTCTTGTGAGCCTGGAAATGCAGCCTGGCAGGGGCACAGGAGAGCCACAGTTGCTGCTGTCTTCTGATGTACGTCTGAAAAAGCCACAAATACACCTTGTCAGAGAGCTGTATGGTGAGCACTTTTGGAAGAGAGCACTTACTTACTTTTTTTCAAGACATTTCTCCTTTAAAATCAAATGAGAATTGTTTTGGATTCCAGGAAATGGTTATTTTCTCACAGATGGCAAATGCCAAATCCTTTAGGAACACTGCTTGCAAAAGTGTGCTGTGGCTGTCTTATGTAAGAGAAGTGTTTTCATAATGGGTCCTTTTGCTGCTGTGTTAGTGGTAAAGGTTACAAATAAATGTGTAAAGTTTATAAATGACAGCATTGTCAAATCTTTTATGTAAAGACAAAAGTACGATTTTTTTTTCTAGTCTCCACCTGAGACAGCTTCTCCCTGAATAGAGGGAATCCAGAATCAAGCCAAGACTGTAATTTTAAAGCTGATATCACAGATCTCTTCAAAAGTCCCTAGTCATTCAGCAAATAAAAGAAGCTGCCTATTTTTAATCTTACTCTCAGCAAGCTGGGCCAAAAAGCCCTGGACCTACTATCACTTCTTGAAAAATGTGCCTTTGCTAATCTCTATTAATCCACAGGAGAGGTACTTGAAAATAAGCAGTATAACTAAGCAGCAAGTTCTTTCAGCTTTGATTCCACAGATAAAATGGGGGGCAGTGTCACAGAAATCAAAAAGGAAAAGGAAAGCCTGATGCTTTTATAGAGTCCATGTATTAAATAAATATCCAGGAGCCACTTTGCCTTTAATCTGATGGCTGCTTGATCTTTGCAGGTTTGGGCAGCAAATGCTGAAGCACTTCCCAAACCTCCCTCTGATTTTCTATGGAAGGACCTAGAGAGATTCAAGACTGGCTTCAACTGTGCTACCATTCTTTGTGAACCTAATGGTCAGGTTAGTGTCCTGTCCAAAATCACTGTGTTTTTTCATCCAGACAGCTTTCCTTGAGCCTGAACGGGACTTTCATTGTCTCTGTTTAAATCCATTCCTTCCTATCCGCTGTGGACACAGAGAGCAGATTGCTCTTTCTGTCTTCAGCAGCCTTTGACAAACTTGCACAGTTGTCCTATCTCCTTTTATCATCTTCTTTGTCTGTTGCACTTTAATGAAGAAGGGTTGTTTTAAAGCTCTTACATGGCCAATCTAATATTGAATACATTTGAATACATTTGAAGTGTGGAAATGGATTTTAAAGACCAAAGGAAAAAAAAAATGGATTTAGGTGGATGCCATTAGTATTTATCTCTCAAAGGCAGATGTCTCAGAAATACCTTGGAGCATCTACCCTTACAGTCCTTCAGCCCTTTCAGCCCTGGCTTGTCTACACTGAGCAATTACTGATGAGAAAATGCAAAATATAAAGAAGTAGTGACGTGTATGTTGCTTTTTCAGGCTGTTGCCTGGTATATTCCTCGCCACTGCAGCAGAAGGCAGGGATGGGGGTTGAGAGAAGAAAGGGAGAAGTTGGAGAACATCATGAAACCATTTTCCTCACCGACAGAGCAGCAAGAAGGATGGGAAAGGGAACAGGAACCTGCAATGATGGACACAGAGTGGAAAAGGCCTGACCCAGGGCAAACAAGAACAAAAAGACGAAGTTTCATTAAAAGGTATCCAGCCTTCACTGACCGTACTCTGTAATTACAGCCCTGTGCCCGCCTGGCTCTTTAAGTGAACGAGTAAGGCTAAGTGGAAAGTAAAATTCAAGTAAAAGTCTTGAAGTGTGAGTTTATTGCTGCATATTATTCACCCTTTGAGCTCCATGGGCATGGAAGCCACCATTCAGAATCCAAATCTTGGAAAGTTTTCACCCCCAAACGTCGAGGTTCACAGGACTACTTACCTTTATCTTTGGAAATTCCTGAACTCAGTCTTCCTTCAGTCCATTTTTTAGACTGGGGTAGTGATTGATAACCAGTGCTTTCTAAATCACTTCAAAACCATCTTATAACATTTGTAACAAACTCAGAATCCACACCACCATGAAAAGCAAGATGGTTCATTGGACTAGCTGTGGACTTAGGCTGGTCCACAGCCACAGCCTGGCCTCAGTCAAGAAACATCTCCCAGAGCCATAAACTACTTTGAGTAAGGAAGTCTTTAAATTAGAAATTTTCTTAATGCCCTCCAGAATTTGGGCTCCAGAGGCTCTTTAACACGTGACAGAAAAACACGTGCAGAGAAGTAGAAGTGTTTTAAAACCAAGATATTAGCCTATCTGGATATATTTTCACATGAAAAGATCTGGGTATATTTTCACATGAAAAGTTGGTGACTCTTCCTGTGTTTGGACTAGTTGTTATTCTCTAAATTTCTTCTGCAGGCGATGACTGGAGAGGTTCAAAAATGAACATTTTTCAGCATAGATTAAACTGTCTGTTCTTCATAAGAATTGTCCTTGAAAATGGCTGAATCTGTTTTGCTCAAGCTCTCCAAAGAAACTAAATAAGAGGCAGAGAGAAATTATATGAAAATTCAGTGCAAAGGGTTCAATTCTGGCATAATTATAAGCAATTGAAAATAGAAAATTGTAATATGATGTGTCAAACAATATGGAAGTTGCAATTCTTCCACCTACAACTAAGGGCAAAATATGTCAAAAATATGTGTGTTGTTCTTTATGTATATTGCAGAGATTTAGTTTATGTGTGCAGTAAACACAGTGAATCTATGCAAAATACAGCAATAAACATGATAATACAATACAATAAATAATGCAGTAATAAATCCAGTATGCATATTTCATTTGTCCCTTGCACGTTATATGCAAAGTGCGTGAAATCCACATAGTAAACTTAATGGATTTTCTGTTCGCAGGGAAGAACAGCCCTCTGCGCCGCTGTTCCCTGCTCGGAGTGCTTGGTGCCAGAGTCCCGGTGCGCCCACCCACCCTCACTTCTCCCTGGTTAGACCCCTGGCCATGGGCAATGACGGCAGCAGCTTGTGCAGGCAGTCCCGGTGCCAGTCAGCAAGGCCCGACCCGGTGCCAGGTGAGTTCAAGAGCAGGTGGGGTAGATGCAGCAAAAGTGGTAAAAAATGGGGCGAGGTTTCCAACAAAATAATCTCAGACTTATAATGCGTATGTGTTAAAAGCTAGAGGTACCCCCGTGATCCATGGAGCTGGATGGTGTCACCAAGATAGAGGCAGGTTCTGTTTCTTAATCCTAATGCTGTTAGAGAATGAGACAAAATATAAGAAATCAGTGAGAGAGGCTCTTATACTGGCTGTGGATTGTTAATCAGGCCCTGGTGAGAAAGTCAGTGTTTATTTCGGGTACTTCAAACCCAGAAAGCTGTCGGCACACTGGAAAGAAGTCGGGGAGAATGACAAAGTGTATAAATGTCTGAAGAGGTTGATTCATAAAGATTAAAGGGAGCTGGATGTGTGTTTGACGAGCAAGGTGACTGCCGTGCGTGGGGCGTTCAAGCACCGCAAGGGAGGAAGCTGACTTGGATCCAGAAAACAGAACTAGAAGGAAGAGGACCAAGCGAAAGACAGGAAGTTTTATGCTGAATATGTAATAAATTGGAGATTTAATGATCTGTAGTGTGGCGTTCCGGTTGTACCGGTTGCTCCACTTAGTATTTTAAACCACCTACAATTTTTAGGCGCTCAGTGGCCATTAATTTAAAGGAATTGGGTGTACAGTTCCTGCAGATGGCTTTGCAAAACGTATTCTTTCTTTACTGAAGCATTTAAAACTAGTGAAATTCTTTGAATATACAAAAGCAGCCATTCTTTGACTGGCCTGGATAGTGCCTACATAGTTGTCAGGAATTTTTCCCCATTTCTAAGAATTCTGTGCGATGAAAAGCCTTTTGGCTTGAGCCAGGAAATCTTCTATTCACCCATTGCTTAGTTTTATGCAGCCCAACAGCAATCCTGTGTCCAATGAAGGCTGTCAGTAAGACCTTTCTCAAATACTAAATCCAGGCTAGGCTGATGGGAGGACTTGCAGTAGTCCTGTTTACAGGACTTTTTCCTTCCTGGTCTGTCTGACTCTGTTGCATCGAGCATTCAAAAGGTATCTATTTTGTATCATGCTGATTTGTCCCATTTTCTAAAACTTACTTTGGGTCTTTCTGTATTGGTCTGATCTTCTGCTGGGCTGGATTTTCCCATATGTAGAATCATAGAATCATTATGATTGGAAAAGACCTTCAAGATTATCAAGCGCAAATGTAAACCCATCACCACCCTGCCTGCTAAACCCTGACCCCGAGGGCCTCATCTACACATTTCTTGAATACTGACAAGTCCGGTGACACCACCAATTCCCTGGGCAGCCTGTTCCAATGCTTCACCAATCTTTCTGTGTAAGAATTTTCCATAATATCTAACCTTAACGTCCCCTGGCACAACCTGGGGGCATTTCCTCTTGTCCTATTGGTAGTTATTTTGGTAGTAATTACATGCTGTCCATGTTTCCTGGACAGAAAAAAGCTGGGCACAGAGGGAGAATTGGCACCTCTCAACTCAGGGGTGCTGATGGCATCAGGGCTTGTGTCCACATGAGCGCATGGAGTGACAAATACGAGCGACTCTATAAAGCAAAACCCTTGGTTCTATACGGCCCTCTTACACATCCTCTTTTCTTGTCACTGACCTGCAGGTGAAGGGCAGTGTTATTGCCATGGATTATGCTGGGTTTCTGTTTTCAAGATTTTTGGGGGGTAACTATTAAGGTTAGAAACTTTTTCAGTAAAGCTGAACCAAAAAAAAAGCAATGGTTTCACATGATGAAAACAAACCGAAACACCTGAGACTGTAACATGATCACATCAGTCCAGGACCCAGGCACAGAGACAGGACCTACTTAGAGATATATTTCCTGAGTGAGGAAGCTCTGGAGGCAAAATTCAAAGCAAGAAGGTCTGTCATGCATTAAATATGTCTGATTTTCTGTAGGTTTTCACATGCAGCCTGCATACTCTTGATCTCCCTTTCTCCCATCTTTGCAAAAGATAATTCTGTTCTATTTACTTATGGTTCATTTGCAGTTCTGTTCACTACTAAATTATGAAATTATTCCTCCGAATACTGCCAGGAAAGATAATGATATCCAAGATCTCAGATTAAAAATTAAATATGGGCATAATAGTTATTTTTACTCTGATAAATATTCATGTGTAGTGCATATTACTGCAGGATTTTTCCAGAAATGAATAGAGATGTGTAAGCATCATTCTTATTTTATTACAAAGCAAAAATTATAAGTGCTTTAGGCAGATTTATAAATACACACTGCTAGACATGATTACTGACGGTGATGAGATAATGATTTTGAAATATATGACTACTTCCTTTTTTTCTTTCATTTTTTCTTTCCTTGCTTCAGTATTTTTAACTAGCAAGCATGTCATGAATAGCTGGAGTCCGCTGTACCATGAATCATAGAATCATAGAATCGTTAAGGTTGGAAGGCAGCTCTGGAGATCATCTAGTCCAACCTCCCTGCACACGCAGGGTCACCTAGAGCATGTGGCAAATGAAGTCTTACTTAGGTGCTGGCCCAAGAAAGCTTTCCTATTCACTAAGGGTCCTACAATAAGCTCATAAATGCTTTGTAATATCAGACACGTACGGATATCAGAATTGTTGACTTCCCATTTATCTTCCTTTACGTGCTTTTAATCACTATTACCTTTAAATATGGATATTTTTTTCCTACTGCCAAAATATGAGAAGTTAGGTTGATGCCTTTGAATCAAATTAGTAATTCAAAGTATTTTTGCATTTTCCTCTTAGATACTTAATCTTGTTTTTCCAAATCAGTTTAGCATGTGCTTATGTCCAGAAGTATAAAGGCCCACTTTAGATTTCAGAGAAATGGACCTCACAGATGATACTGATTGATAGTCTCTGTTTATTAGCTTGAGATATTTACTTTCTTCTCTATCTGTTGTGTTCTCTCTAGCTCTCCTCCAAAGTAATCAATCATTTTCAATCTCTCTTTTTGGGTATAAATATCAGCAATATACAATATTCCAGTACAAAGCAAACTGGTTTTGAGAACTTTATACCTGTTCTCTCCTTTCATAGCTCATTATTTTCTCCTTTTTAGTTGCTCTGGAAGAGAAGTTTCATTACCTAGGTCCAGTGCCACCTGTGTGTTTGTTCTGAGTTGTTGCATCTAACCAGACTAAAGTAGGGTGTGTGATGGCTGTTCCTTCAGGGTGCATCCATCAATATCAAATTTTAATTGGCACCTTATTGTTCCTCCACTTGGGTTTCTGAGTCCCTTTTAAAGCTATGTACAGTTTTGTTTGGTATTGACAGTAAAAAATTCATTGCAAATTATCTACAAATGGTATCATTTCATGTCTTACCATCTTTACATTATAGTCTATTTTTTCAATTACAAAACTGTCTATTTGGGTTCCTCTTCAATCAGGTGTCCCCATTTTCTTCTCAGACTGAGAGACAGGATATGGCAGCTGCTGCTGCTGTCGGTCACAACTTTCAAGATGAGCTCCTTGTACTTCAGGTCTGCTGTATGCCTCCCATTTCCCTCAGAAGCGCACTGCTCTGGCGATGACAATTTTTGTTGTTGACAAATTTCACTCTGAATCAAAATGCTAAGCTGTGAACTTTGCAAGAAGTTTAAAAATAGCCATGGAACGTACTGTAAAGAAAACACTTTGAAATCTCAGCCAAAACCAATAAGTTTTGTCAATCAGAATGTTTCCCTGTTAGTTGAGGAATCAGCTAATTAAGCTGTCAGTGGCAAACTAAAACCTACAGACAGGGAACATATTTAGCACAGATTTTCAGTGAAAAGAAGCCAAATCCTACCACTTCCTTCTCTAGGAAATGGAGCAAGCTCGTTAGTATTCTATTTTTCCCACTTGTTCTCTTTTTTTTTCCCCCAAATATTGAGAGTCGAATGACACTAGATGCATTCATATCCAGATGCTCTTGCTGTCCTGACTCGTCCTAAGGACTTCTGCAGTCCCTGAGACTGCCCATGTAATTTCCAGTTAGCAGTGAGCAGCTTTTGCAGACTCATTTCTTTTCTCTTAGGACTCTGGCATATTACAGACAAGGCCAAGTAATAACATTGGCCATTAAAAATGTGGCACACATTTTGGAGATACACTTTTTGAATAACAAGAGGTCAAAAAAGATATTAGAATGGTGTCCCATGGTAAGAAACTCAGTCAGGAGTTTTCTCCAGTAGATCAGTTGACTACCTTTGAGCAATGAGATGTGCCTATCATTACCAAGACACAAAGTGAAGCAACCCAGTTTGCTCAGCAGAGTGTCATTCATCCTGACTGACAGCTTTGTGCTCTTCATGGGTATTTGTGTGCCCTCTGCCAGCCAAAGATCTTCAAAACCTTAATAGCTTTTCAGTTTTTCACTGGATGCATGTAATTTATCTGAAATTCCAAGGTAAAACCATACTGTCATGCTGAAGAGGAAGAATGGACAGTAAAGGACACGTCTCTGGTGGCAGACAACTGTGAAAATAACCTGGCTTCATTTATAAGGGACCAAATGCCATACCCTCATTTCATCAGAAACAGAAATTCTGATTCCTTCATTGCTGTTTTCTCAGCTTTGATATCTTATGATTTGACACTGTTTTTTTCCCTATCTACCAGGCAAGGTGCCAGTCTGTCAAAATAACTTGTTCATCTTTTTATTGTTTACCGCTTAAAAGCCACTGATGCAATTTTCATTTGTATATTTTTAGTGCTCCAGGAATAAAACAGCAGGTTTTTCTGACCTGAAATTTTGGAGGAGGGAGAACCTTGGGAAGAATCAAGGGGAAATATTAATAATTCTCTGTGGTCAAATGTGGAAATCAGAGAAAGAATTAAAGATTATTGACAAAGTTCAAATAATAAAAACAAGCTCAACACACCTTTTTCCATCATGGGCGAAGAAATAACAGTATGAGCACTTTAGTGATGATGAAAACAAATCAGACATTTAGCCATGATACTAGTGAGAAAGAGAGGAGGTCGGGTTCAAAGAGATACTTTTAAGCAATTTTATAAGGGGAAATAGGAAAACAAAATACTTTTGCCATTTTATATGTGGACGACCAGAGATGGTAGTAGAATCTGTGTCACCGGCGCTCCTGTGAACCATCTGAGGAAGTCCACAGCCCAGCTGGCTGCTTATTAGCATCACTTACCAGGCAAAAAGTCGTCACTGTGCTGAGATTTGCTAACACATTTGGCTCTCACAAACTCTGACTGCCTCTGGGAAAAAGAATCTGGAGAGCTGAGGTGGTTTTGAGCTGCGAACACTTCTATGCAGATAAGTCACCCAGAAATATTAGCAGAGCCATGTGAATGAGAGGTACATTCAGTGCCCTTTGCTTGCACCTAATCACTATGGGAAAACTGTGAGGCTGGC